AAAGTAGAGACAAGTGTCATCTGTAGAAAATTTAGAAATGTGACTAATTCGATCCCTTATTTTAGGAAAATACAAACAGGAATATGGATTACTTGAATGTCAGAGTTTATAGATCATAATCAAATTCAGAATTAGGTATCTTTGAGCAAAGATAGCAACAAAGAGAATTGTCATGTGTTAGCATCAGCCACTGTATTCTCAGATATTGATAGAATTGCCCTAAATTTTGTTTTTTCTTACCCAAAGGGCTTCCTGCCTGCCAGGTTTCCAAAGTAAAAATATTAAATGAGTATCTTGGAAGATTATTTTAAGTTTGTAATTACTCATAATGTAGCTAAACGTACCAAATGTGCTATCCACAAAACGCCAATGTGCTATTTATATTTTAATCTAATCATAGTCTTTGTCACAATCTATCATCACAGTCTTCTCCTTGTGTCTGTATTTTTTTCATTGGGAAAAAAATGGCTTGAAAGAGGGAGAGAAAGTTGTCATCTGTTGCTTTCAGAGAATTTAACTCATTTAAAATTGAGTACGCAGAAATCCTGTTATTTTGTTTGTTGACTTTTGGTATCTTCTTTCTAAAATAAAACCTACTCAAGGCATGGTTATTTAAAATCCAAGTGAATTGGAAATCTATAATGTTGTTTAGACACCATGCTGAGTAAGCTGGGTGAGAGAGTGGTGTATTAGAAATACAGGTGCATCATGGGTTTATGTACTCATCCAGATCCTACTGTGATCCTAATGACCTCTGGTATGTCACTTCATTTCCCTGAGACTCAGATTTTCATTTGTATATTGAGCAAATCTCTCAAACTCAATTTCTAAGGATGTGGAATTGACACTACAGCACTATCAATGAACTGTATCTCCACTCCATTTTTCAAAGGCTCTATGTCTTTGGACAATAACTTAAACTCTCTGGTTCTTTTTTTAATCACCTTAAAGTGGACATGATTATAATACTTTGCATGGTTTTTGAGAAATGAGAAACTGTACATAAGACAGCAACAGGCATATACCTTTTTGTTGATAACCCCCACCCGCTGGGAAATAATCTGTGACTTCTACATCTGACTAAATGAAGAAGAAGAATAAAATAATTTAGACACAATCATTTTGTAACTAAAAATGGTGGCACCTTCTCTTTCCCAATCTCACCTATAAAAGGGACCTATTTGAAATTTCTGAGGCAGAAAGCCTCACAACTTTGATCATTGATAACCTACTTATTCCTATATTCTTGATGATTATATCTTGAAGTTTGTGTGGGGAAAATGAGTAACCTAGATACAAAGCTTGCAAAATGCACTGAGCAGTCATTTCACAAATGCACTGAACTCACAAAGTGCTAAATGCACTTCCAGTTCTGCTGGCTACCCAGGGGATTGTGTAGCACAACTCCATGGGGAAGATGAAGCACGTCCCTGAGATAAAGTTTAAAGAACAATATGTCAACAAGGACAAGTCAATAGCCTATAAAATGAGTGCCTAAGTGCTGAGGGGATCCTTTGGAAAGCTTTCTTCAAAGCAGTAAGGTAAACTAAAAGGGTAGTGGTTAGTGTGCATAAAGGAAGACAAAGAAGACCAAAAGCCAATTACAAAGCACTTAAGGCCAGTTGACCAAGAAGCAAAAAAAAATAGGGTCTGTGAATGTTTGAATTTCTTCTACTATTTTCAAATTTTATTTTGGTCCTGTTTTGTTTTAAATTCATGCACAGCTGTGTTTTATCAACAGGTTCTGTATACCATGCCCCTACATAGAACCTCTCTGAACATTGTCAAAAATCCATTGATAAAATTTAAATCAACATTATTGAGGTATAATTTACATACAGTACGATGCGCTCATTCAAAGCTCATTTTTGAAAGAATACAAGTTTCTAAAAAAAAAAAGATAACAGCATTTATACTTATATTTTAAAAGGCTTGGTCTCAGAGCTCATTTTTGAAAGAATACAAGTTTCTAAAAAAAAAAAAAGATAACAGCATTTATATTTATATTTTAAAAGGCTTGGTCTCAGACAAATCATCCCAGTAATAAGCAGAGGCTCAAAAAACATAAGATGAGAAAATAGAAGAAAATTAAACTGTTTGGAAACCATATTGATTTTAGTAAAACTTACTTAATTTCCAGGAGTATTATTTAAAGCATTTTCTGTACCTTTTGTTTTCATGTTCTTATTTAACAGCATATTTAAAGAGAGAAGTGAAAAATTTATTTTAAGCATTTTTTTTTCATTCTGAATATTGGTCATAGAATAAAGTTTCAAACCAATGTCATGGTATTAGTAGTTCTCATGAATGCCTCATGGATTTCTTTTTGAGAAAAATACATGCATTTAATTTTATGTATTTTATGTATCTTCTTTGAGAAAACACATGGAATGGGTTATACAAAAATTGCATGAAGTAACTTGTTGTACAACAGGCCCCACCCCCACCTGTTAAAACACAAATCTGTGAACTGTGATGTAGATTGTACAGGATTGTATGTGATGCCCAGTACAAACACCTGGGGGCACTGACTCCATACTGGATGCCAGAAACATCAATGTACTAATTGGTTGGATTTTTCTGAACTATTTTGACAGTTAATTGGCTTATGGAAAAAAAAAAAAACTCAAAAAAATCACATCCAGTAAAAGCTTTGTATGAGTCAGCTGTATGAATCAGTCATTTTAGATTGCAGCTTTGCCTTTGGCCTGTAATGCTATACTCACTGACAAACTTCATAAAATCCCATGGTCCAGTCATCTAGGACTAGGATATAAAATAAGGCCAATTATTTTGATATGGTCTAATGTGGCTTCCTTTCTTTGTTACAAATATATGCCAACAAATCAGAATAGAATAGATAGTAATTTTTTTTTAGGGAAGAATGTGTGTCTTTTCATTTTCTATCTGGCACTAAACCTGGAACAACTGAGGTACTCAATTCAAAGCTGTGGAATGAATAAGTAAGTTAATGGATAAGTCAGTGATCAATAGTCAGTGGAAAACCATCAATACTGAAGAAAATACACACAACCCACCCCTTCAAAGAAGGGATCAATAGCATCATTTTGGTATAATGAAATAAAGCCCCTTTTCGAAAGCAAGTAGTCACAGTGATTTACTTATTTTTTACTCTTTTGTAGTAAGTTGCAGAACTCAAGTTGGAGAAGTCACACTAGGGCACAAACAGACAGGTGCTTCCAAAGCAGGTAGTAGCTTTTAAAATGTTTCCATTTCAAAGTCAGTGTGGGAGCTTGGAGATTATGTTTATAAACACTTCCCTGTCATTAGGTCCACCAGTGTATGACTTCTTTCAATATCCTGCATGACTGCCAAGAGACCAAAAAAGATTATGCTCATGAGAACAGATTTTTTTAAAAGGGAATTGATCCGATAATTTTTAGAGCATACATAAAGCAGCAAAGAAATAGACTGATTTTTGGCATGAAATAAAACATTTTACATCCATAAGTTGACCAAGGTTTTAGTTAGCAAATACCAGAGCTGGGATCAACACATTTAGAACATTCTGACCTTGAGGGGTGTGTGTGTGTCTGGCTGTGTTTGCTGGCGGGGCAGGGCTGCAGGGTCTGGGTGTATGGATATCTATGTGTGTGACTAATAGCATTGACATTCCTGTTCTGAACTGTAGAACGATCACTTATGATCGTTCACAGGCATACATGCCTCTCCTTTTAAGGACTGATTTTGAAGCATTGCATTTTAGTTGGAGGTATGCACTTGACTTCAACCTCTTGCCTCCTTACCATTTTTGCTGAAAAGGCGCAAGAGGGTATCTCACTCGTGTGCCTCTTAATGAAGTCTCCACATTGACGTCTGGGAATACATGAAGCTCTAATCACAGGTGCATGAGGATCTATCATTCTGTGGCTTATTAAAATCGGGTTTTGCACGTGTGTCCGTGAATCAGCAGCACATAATCATCCACATGAGTCCCCCCCTACAGACTTAGAATGACCTCTCAGCCATTTCTGTTGCACTATTTAGAAAACAGTAATAATTCTGGTTTTGTATGTGCATAACTAAATATGGTTACTGTAGCTAAGCAATCTAATAGTTACTTCTGGGAAGCCCAATAAGCTAGTCTGTTCATTAGTATCCTTCTAAGTTTCTGTTGAACAGAGTCATCTGTGTGGCAGGTATGAGTACAAATAGGAGTTGTTGATTGTGCTTTTTTTTTTTTCTCCTTGAATGGAGGTCAAACATGCTTATGAAGTTTAAGCAGCTTATTTCTTCATATGGACACAGATTGTGAAATATTAGGTATGTGGTAGATTGTCCTAAAATTTCTTCATCTAATTACTTTCCTGGGCTGTGGGCATTTCCTTTGTGCACACATTCTGCCTACAATGTGTTCATGTTGGTTACTGTTTTGTACTCTGTGTCTCCATATGGATAAAGGTGGCTGCTGAATTTGCAGCATCTCATATATGCCCCTCAAAGGCGTTTCTCACACACTAGCCTACAGACGTGATGCAAGTTTTTTACAGGGAATGTTGACACTGGCCAGAGTGTGAGAACTAACAAAGGAAACTATCTTTGATCTAAACCATCATGTGGATTTTTCTTTAGCTGCCAATGAGTTTGGTCCTGTTGAACCACATTGCTCAGTTACCCTGAGAGTATGATGGGTAGAGACAGAAAAATATTCTGGGTACTCCAAGTGGTCACCTACATGAAGGAGAAGGGGTACACACCATAAAATGTGTGAGTTTTAATATCAATAATGTTTATTTACACTGACAGCTTAAATAGATCAATAATACTGTTAAGAGGAGCATGCACTCAGCAAAAACACCTTTGTAGCACATAAAGTTCAGTCTTCTGGCTTTAATGTTTATCAGCATCTTGAGAGGCATTTATAGCCCCTCACATACTCCTTTATGATTCTCTTATTGATTAAGTAGTGATGCCTGCTGGACCTAGGACATGGTTCACTATTTTTCAATTAAAATGAAGAAATACCTTGTTTGTTGCAGGTTCGCTTCAAGCAATTGGCTTGTGGGACTTTGAGAGATGCTGCTGCCCATGACATGTTGGAATTACCATGATCAACTACCCAGTTTGGATTTCACCCAGTGGCCAGGAGCTTTGCATGGTAGACAGCAAGGGTTGGATTTTTAAAAAGAGTAAATCAGGTAAGATTTGAGGAAGACATCTGATCATTTATCACTTGCTATAAGGGCTTTCGTGTGTTGCCAAGATGTATTGAATAATGTATAGCTTTTCTATTTATTTTCTAAGTCCACTGAACAGGTTGTTCAAATGGTACTCCCTTGGATTTAGAAGAATGTATATAGTAATAATTGAGTTCATTTTTCCTCAAGAGGAGAGAGGAGTTATTTTAAGATACACATAAAGCAGACACAAGATAGTATGGATGCAGGTTAATGCAATAGCCAAAAATTGCAAGCTAAGGACATTTCCTCTTTAAGTAACTCCTCTGAACTATAATGGGATAAGCATTTGTACTTTTGAAGATGGTGTAGGGAAAGTGTTGCTGTTAAGTAGTTGTATTTTACATGATATAGAAATGTGTCAGTTAATAGTATATGATCTTATAAATATGCCTCGGGGTTACTCTTATTTAGAAGATAATACTGTTAGTCTGCCTTTTATTTCTTTGTATTTATCACTTAATTTCTGTTCCTCTAAGTTTTATTTAAAATGGTGACACAATGACATACTTCGTTATTACTGTGGCTCCTAGAATTTACAATGTTATACTTTTATTTAAGTATTCTTTTTGCTACTTTTCTCTATTTCATTTTGGAAACTCTTCTCCCTATTGCTCATAGTTTGGTCAGATCTTCTTAACTGTCTTCCTCTTCCATAACATAATTTGAAGTTGTTATCAACAAATACCTGGGAGAACAACAAATTATTCTTGGGCTCTGACTTAAAGACCATCAAAGCTTTTACAGCTTCTTGGAATTTTATGCACCCCAAAGCAAGATTTTCTTTAAGTTCAATTACAGAAACAGAAAACATAAGTAAACTTCATTAACTGAGAAAAAAAGGAGGGCGATTATTCTAAGTCACTTGAACTTTTTACAAATACAGCTTTCTTACTTTATGAAAATAAATGGAACTCAGTCAATAAATTATAGCCTAAGATAATTATTTGGATGTAAAAGAGAACTTCTCAAGTGATTGAGAATAATTGATTCTTTAAAGTTTGATAAATATCCCTCCCCAATCCCATAATAACTTATTTGTCTATAAGATGATATCAAGTGAGTACAAAACTCAAATAGACACAGATTTCAAATTTGTTAGAAGGAGTGTAGATCACCAGACTCGTGGCAGAAACCCTTATTGATGACCTGAGTTGTGGACGATTGTCCTGCTTAGTGGCAACGTGGGTTATCCATACTTAGAAGAATTCTGCTAGTATGTAAATAAAAGTGACATCAAAATGCAGGATGCATTTGGGGAATAAAGCTCAACTTATTTCCAGGCTTTGTAGCATTAAAATCAAGCAAATAATTAAAGCAAGAATGCTTCATGATAGACTTACATATTCTTAAATGTTTAAGTCTTAGTCTCTGAGTCCAAAATAAATTTCATCCTGATTGTGTGTACTTCTATATTTTCAACAAAATTGGGTTGTATGCTAAAACATCAGACTTAGAAGAAAAAAACAAAAAGGAGAAGGATAAAATTAAATCTATTTTGAAGGTAATCATGTGATAATGCAATTATTAGCACTTACTTATTTTATCACAAAGGAAGAGCTCTCCTCTACTGTGAGACCAGAATTTTTATTCTTTAGAGTACTTTATCTTTCTGAACTGTGTGTGTAGGTTATCAATATAGTAAAAGAATACAAGGGCTTTTGATCTGAGTATTATAAAGAAACATAATGTCTTTTCTCTTTGGACAGTCTTTTGAAGTAAATCCTGTTAATTAGGAGATACAGAGATAGTACATTCCACTGTCCTGTATAAAAACATATGATACAGAAGGGCTCCAAGAACATAAAAGACTTGACAGCGAATTCATGTATTTTCCCAGTTAAAGGTTAACTCTTTAAAAATGAACAGAAAATTTATACATTATAGCTTTATAGTTTATATTAGTTTTAAATTCATTTTTGTTCTCTAAGAAGGGCAGTTGCACTTTTTATAGCAATGCATGTTAGCTTCTCCATAAAGTTAAGTGCCAAAACTTCCAAATTCTGCTTCTCAAAAGTTTATAACAAAGCCATAAAAATTTGTACTGTTCCTAGCTTAAAAACAATTTTTCTTTCTTAAAGCATTTTAAAAGTAAAGGTTTGGGCGCCTGGATGGCTCAGTCGGTTAAGCGACTGCCTTCGGCTCAGGTCATGATCCTGGAGTCCCTGGATCCAGCCCCGCATCGGGCTCCCTGCTCGGCGGGAAGCCTGCTTCTCCCTCCCCCACTCCCCCTGCTTGTGTTCCCTCTCTCGCTGTGTCTCTCTCTGTCAAATAAATAAATAAAATCTTAAAAAAAAAAAAAAAGTAAAGGTTTGCCTAGCTCAGGATTACATTATTGTATGCTTGTATGTAGAAGCAACATTACGCTAGAAAGACAAAATACAAAAGGTGAGATTTTTGAAAGTACTTCTGATAATAATAGCATGCCCCATGGAATGCGATATGCAGTCTTAACAACCCTCCCTGCCCTGAGTTCATCTTACAAAGTGAAACTGAAATGTAAATAGCTCAACTTTAGGTAAAATGAACTAAAAAATTTAATGATATATTTCAAGCAGAATTCTCCATAAATTAAGATGAAGGGCCGTTAAACTGATCGGAGTTTTTGAAGGTCTTTGAGGCTTAGGCATTTCAGCAGCACAGCTAAAAAGTGGGGAGAATTTTAACTAATGGAAAATAGGTATGACAGCATTCTAAGCTCGGGGCACAGTATGGCAAAGCCACCCTGATGTAAAAATAAATGTTACCTTTGGAGAAGGGAAAGCTTGCCCCTGGAGAGTTGAGAGGCGTGCAGGAAGAGGCGGAGCATAGAGGTAGGGGCTGGACCTGAGTGCTTTGCATGCACAGCTGCAGTGTTATAAATACTAACGTGATGTAGTCGAATCTGTGCTTAAAGGAAAGGACCCTGACAATGGGTGGGGTAGGGGCAAGGAAGGTATGTGCAGAGAGAAACGACAAACTCAGAATATTCAGTTCCACGAGTACAGAAATGTATTATTTTTAGTGCTGTGTCACCAGTGCCTGGAACAGTTCCTGCTCATCACTGATTCTGTTCCTCTCTGTTAAATGCTGACTAAATGAGTACCTCTCAGGGATAATCCATAAACTTCTACGTTTGCAACTTTTTCCTTTTTTAGAAATGGTTTGAAAACTCTTCATACAAAGGATGAAAAGAATTTAACTGACACGTTTTTCATCACATACATGGGTACACACACACACACAACCCCCCAAACTCTCCCAGTATGTGCTTGAATTAAACCTCAGATCCTGTTCCTGAAATTCATGCTTCAGTTAAGATGGGGGCAGCTGCTACCCTCCTTTATTTCCCTTTTGAGACTTTTATCTCTCAGGCTTTATCCTTCCCTTCATCGTTTTATCATCACATCAATCACTGTTTCTCTCCTTGGGAATGCAGCGAGCATTGCAGGCACATCTTTATGGCTAGAAAACAAACCTACCCTACTTGGCCTGTAATGCTTACTTAAACCTAATTAAGTAATTCTGCTGAAAGTATCATGTCCTTTCCATCACAATGCACATTTGGCCAAAATGATAGGGAACACTTTAAAGCGGTGGAAAATAGCTGGAGAAGGGAGTCCAAAAAAGACACAAGATGAATGAAAGTGAACTTCAGCTCAACCTTCTTCAACACCATCGTCTAATGAGCTGGGGTGCGTTCACACCTCTACTACCGGAAACTCCTAACTCACAGCCCAGCTTTCACCCAATTGTTTTATTGAAAATTACCATTGTAGTAAGGCTCTCCAGAAGTAAACCAGATTCGATACATTTTGTATGATTGAATCATCTATTTTCAGGGAAGTTCTCTTATAGTCTGGGAAAAATGTAAGAATTTCTTTCTAAATATGCATACTTAAGGAAATGTAGATATGATTCATTAAATGTAATATTCTTGAGACCAAGGTCTTTGTCTTTCTTCTCTAAGACCTTAATTCCAAAGCCATGTACATTTTCAGTAAACATATCTGTTGAGTGAATGAATGAATGAATGAATATCAAAACTTGTGCTTCAGATCAAAATTGTAACTTCTGTGTTAACAGTAGGAAATACATCTCTGTCTTGTTAGTGAGGCCAACTGGCATTTGGTTCACTTGTCCAGCATCAGATCATGGGTGTCTTATTCTCTCATGGCTTCCAGTACTGCCATTATTTAGTAACAGATTTTTTAAATCACCTAATGACAAATAAAATTTTTTTAGGGGTATGGAGGATTTAATATAAAGTAAAGTATCAAGGAAAAACTTTTATTAAATGGCTTCTTGCCTTTATAGGTAAAGTATGATTCTCTTTTACAAACAGTCACAAATTTTAAAAATTTATTTTTATAGATCTCAAATGCTTGGAAGAAAAGAAGCAAGGTTTTGTCTCTTTCCATGCTGTTGGGTGTGGATTTTTCTGGATAGAAGTCACTAGAATACTACCATCCTAGCAAGTTACCCTTTTGTATTTCAAAGAGGCAGGTTATAGCAAATTGTAGTTGTAAATATACTATTACATTTAAAGGCACTGGCTTTAAGTGAGGCCTGGATTTGAATCCCAACTCTGACACTTAAAAATTCTGTGATCTTGGGCAAGTGATTTGTCATCTGAGAGATGATTCCCAATTGGTAACATGCACATCTTAATAGCTGCCCCAAGTACAATTGTAAGAATTAAATGAGATCAGACATATAAGACACTCAGCATAATATCTGACACAGTATAAATAAGTTACTGCTATTATTATTATTATTTATGGTCTATAGAGGTAGCAGTTCTACCCAGACATTCATTTGTTTCAGCCAAACTTCAGAATATTTTACCCTTGGTCCCTAGAAGGAAATGAGATGTAAAATGCTTAGCAGAATACCTGACATGCCTCATAAGCACTCAATAAGTGTTTGTTGTTGTGGTGCCAGTTATAATTATTAGTTCCTTATATAAGCA